TCCTGTGATGCCACTGAGCCACTGAGATGAAAAGAGACCTCACTGAGAAGGAAGGCAGACTTGCTTTACATGGACCAGAATCAACAGGTGAGGTTCAGAGCTTCTGCAAACCAGGAGGAAAGCAAGAGATAAATGAAGCAAGAGATAAAAGGATGAAGCCCAGATTCAGTGAGGCCCCAAATGATATTCATCTGCTGGGTTCTTAGTCCTGCTTCAGCAAACTCTTAGCTGCAACCAAAAGGACCCTCAGCTGACCCAAACAGAAGCACACCCAAACCTACATGGAAACAGAATTCTGGCCACTGTCGGAAGTTGAAGGGCTCTAGTTTTTTATGGTAAGATTTGTTTAAGTCTTGAACTGTGTGATACTAGGACAGCTCAAAGTGTAAATATCCCCATGGATAGTGAAGCCTATGCTCAAGGAAAATAATTTCTGAAAATAGAATAAAGAAACGAGAAATGCTGGGGAAGGATAAACATGGAAGATCCACACAGCAGTGATAATCTTCAATCAGGACTTTTTCCCATAAACCATGAATTCATTATGAGAAGGCAACAATTAAATATGGCCATGAAAGCACAAATTATGGGATGAAAAATAAAATTTTAAGGAATAAAATAGGTACATAATCCAAATAACATAATTTTTAAAGGAAAACTATTCAAGTTAATTTTTCAGTAAAGTCTTATAAAGGCATCTTCCCAGCAGATCAAGGTTTCATTCCATGTCCTCAAAGATGTCCCCCTCCTTATAAACTCTTTTCCCTGGGAGCTATGGCCTTGATTTCCCTTGCCCTTCATGCCAAACTTCACACAGCAGCCTGCCATTAGTATTTCCTTCTCTTCTCAATGGATTCCTCATCCTGGGCCACTTGAACAACTTCTCTCCTTCCAGTTAAAACTGCTATGCTGTGATCACCAATAACTCCGAAGCCCAGCTCCAAGCTTTTCTTCTCTGCGCTCCAACTGCTTAACGTGTGGTATTTCTGACTCCTCTGCTACCTCCTGAAACTCACTCTTCCCTGCCCTTCTGCGGCACCATTTGATTCACCTAATCGCTGTGTGATTCCCTCTTCCTATCTTTCCCCCTAAATTTTTCATTTTCAACAAACAGTCATGGTGCTCTTGAAGAGGAGTATACCAGTCTCCGTTAGAGATCAGCTGGGAGTTACAGCAGATAGTTTTTCCTTATTGAGGGCTTTAAATGACAGGTAAAAAAGATGATCTAGTAACCAGTATTTTTTAAAGCAAAGTAATTTTTTTAAGTGCTCTGAAGTCTGAAAAATAATCTTCTCAAGAGAACACACTATTCCAAAAGCAATGTGAATAGCTCAACTTTGGAGCAATGAAAGCTTTCTACAAAAGACCATGAAGTTCTTTATTTATGGGAAACTAAGATTACCGACCTCTGGATTAAAGTGGATAAGCAGGAAGTACTGACATAAAAATGGTAACACACTCCTCACTCAAATTCACCCCCGCCTTATATACACACATACTCACTCACTCAGCCTATAAGGAGCAGCTCTGTCCCCAGGGCTCCAGCATAATTTTGTGCATATTCATCTCTACTATGACTTATATTACATCATCACCAATCCTGATTATTTGTTTCCCCCAATACTGGGACCTGTTTGAAAACAAACTACCTTTTTTCATCTCTACTCCAAGCCACTAGCACAGTGACCAGTCACTCAACAGAGTCTTAGTGAATATGCATTAGACGAGTGGCTGGGTGGACAGATGGATGGATAGGGAGACAGACGGACAAAGGAGTAGGGAGACAGAGATGATGTAAGGAAGGACTAACAAATCAGACTTGCTGCAGACCCTGCGGTTTTTCACACACCTCCAACAAATCAACAATTCCTTTCTAGTGTCTGTTGTATACCTGAAAGATACCTGTGCATAAGGTTTATCAATCTGCCATAGCCCTATAGGGAAAAATTTTAGGTATCTGAGTATATAACTATTTATTAAAGTGTAAGATTATGAGTAAAGAAAATTCTAATTCAAGTATCTTTTAAAAACTACCTTGCCAATAGCCAGACACATAACATAGACTACATGAAGTATCCTATTTTACTAAGTTAAGCAAATACAGTTGACCTTAAACTGGTAACAGTTTTCTTTGATCCACCACTGGCTTCCTATCCAGTCAATATTAATGTTTTCCTTGTCCAAATGCTTTTTGGAAATGGCAAATTTATCTTAATTAGGTAAAATATCATATTAACAACCACTGGAAGTTCTAGTTAGCAAAATAAAACAAAAGCAAAGGTAAATCTGTCTAAATATCACTTTGTGTCTTTCATCAAACACAAGTTCAAATTACCAAACCAAATAAATCCCACAAATTTTGCTAACGTACTTTTAAATCAATTCAAATCTACTTCTTCAAAACTGATTTAGCAGCTACTCAGGAGACTGAAGCAGGAGAATCTTCGAATCAAACCTAGACTGAGTAACTGTCTAAGAAAAAATAAACCAAAATGGGTAGGAGTGTAGTTCTGTGGTAGAATGCTTGCCTAGCATGCACAAGGAACTGGGTTCAATCCCCGATACCATAAAAAAAAAAAAAAAAAACAAAAAAAAAACAGAGAACTGATTTAGTACAGCTCTGCAACTGGTTTGTCTATGCTTACACCACTGACCTCACTAAATTTTGGAAGCATCAGTCAAGAATATAAAAAGTAAAGGTAAGCTAACATTTTTAGAAAAACCCATAATTACATGTTGCCTCAAAAAAGTAGCTCAGATTAAAAAAAAAAAAATTGTTCTAAACTTCAAACACCATCCTACTCTGCAAATACACGCACGCACACACACACACACAGACACACACACACACACACACACACACCGCCACAAATATTGAACTTTAAATTTCTTTTTGGACTTACAAACCAAAGTACTAACCAATAAAGTGAAAATGAAACCAATATATGACCTGAAGTTACAAAATTGATACACTTCATAATCTATGAAGAAACAAAGTTATAGACCTAATCTTAGCAAAACCAAGCTACACTTCTTTCTGATAGGAAAGTTGTTTTCTGAGTTGTGATGAGGTAAATTCACTGCCATCCACCATGGGGAGGCAGTGCAGCGTGGTGAACACCACAAGCTTCAGGACACAGTTAGAATCCCCCAGCACTCACTGAGTGTATTATGAGCAAGCTCTTGAACCTGTAAGGCACTCAGAAGATTGCCTGGGACAGACAAAGCCTTTGGCAGACACGGGCTGTAGCAGGCCTTTAGAATCTGTACCTTTGCATCACCTGAAATATTATAAGAAGGTGATATTCTAAGAAGGTCCAATTCCAGACTTACTACAGCTGTAATCTCCATTTTTATCATGGCCATCCTATGCTTCAACTGCAAATTAAAGTTTGAGAAGCACAACTAGCAGTCACCTTTTACTCTATATTCTACAAGAAGGTAGCTAGTATAAAAACTGCTCCGTTACTTATCTGCAACATAAAGGAGTTACATTTATTTCTAGTAAAAGCAAAGCATTATGTTTTTCCCTTTTTTTTAAGGAGTAGTGAACAAAAAATAACAAAGACAAAGACAAAGACAAAAACAACAACAACACAAAAACTATAAAAATGATACAGAATTTCAAAACAAGATGATAGGAAATCAACAATGGTTGCTGTATTATTTATTGGTATCTTCAAAGTAGTTGCTCAGATTACCAGATATAGGTATGCAAGGTTGATCAAACAACTAAACATTAACTGTTCCTTTCAATAAACCAATAGAAATTGGTGGTACAATTAGCTATTTTGTGTATATATATATATTTTTTTTTCCTTTCTTTCTTTCTTTCTTTTCTCCTTCCCCTCATCCCAGTTGCTCTTTCCTATTGAGCAGTTTCTTTCCCTTTCACAATATCTATTGTACCTTTCAGATGTGAGATGAAAATCCTCTATTAGTGATTCCTACTCTGTCTTATTGAAAGGCAGCACTGGGCCACAAAGCTGTAGAGGACTGCCACCTAGCGGTGGGTTTTCTGATGCACATACAAAACCAATAGCCTGCCGCCTTCCGTTTTAAAACATATTTGTTTAAAATAGTACGGGGTTTTGTTTTTGCTGAATTCCTCTCTTTAAGTCTTAAGTTTCTCTTTTAACACTCATATTAACTGTAGGGAAGTTTTCAAATTAAAATAATGACCAATTAAACACTTTAAAGACATCAGGGTTAAAAAATGAATTCTTCTGAAATACATGGAACTCAAGGGTAAGTTTTACTTTCCTCTTCCCAAGTTCTGTACTTTCCACAAGCTTTCATATTAAGAAAAAATATTTTACAGCCATCTGACTTAGTAACTCAACTTCTACATTCTACCCTAAGGAAATAATCAGAAACGTAGACAAAAGTTCTTGTACAAAGATGTTCACTTTAAGAAAGCTTAATCTTATAGCTTCATAATAGCCCCCTGAATTTACACATCAAAGCTTATTCTTCTCTGTCACTTAGTTAGTCACCTCTAATTTTTCCACACTACAAATAAATACATTTATGAATAGAAAAAAGAAGGGAGTATAGGAAGAGGAGGAAAATAAACACTGTATATGGCAACTCACGTGATTTCTCCACATTTTGGATTACTGAATATACACTCCCCTGAGCTAGATTACACCACCCAAGAACATTTTTGTGGCTAACAGCCAACCTGCTTTATAAGAGCCCTGTATCCTTTTAAATGGCCACAAGCAGTGTATGAGGATGCTCAGCTTCAGTCAGCTGATGTGGAATAGACACGAGCTGCAGAAAGGCTTTAGAAATGCTCTGCCGGCCACACAGGACAGCGGGTTAGATGAAACAAACACATCTATTGTATAGAGTTTCCTTTTTATTATTCTGATCCTTTGGATACAAAATTCTCAATGAAATATCTTATTTTCCTGTGACTGAAACCACATAATCTTCCACCTCTACACCACTGAATCCTCTATATTTGTCACTGGAAGTAGCATGCTCATGATTACCTTTTACACCACCAAATGGCCCGTAGGTCATATTGCAGGCTGTTCTCTGAAGATGATGCTTGTACATCAATTTCATCTGGTACTGGTTCCCATGTTCTACGTTACCCAAAGTTCCTAAGAAGAAAAAATAAAAGGAGTACTTTGAATGCATTTACATTATTAAAACATTAACTTCTCATTTTCTGTATCAATTCTTCTTTTTTCTGTTTTTTTTCTTTTTGAGACAGGGTTTTATTATGCAGTTCAGGCTGGCCATGAACTCATTTTACTGTACTCCAAGCTGGCCTCAAACTTGCAACGATACTCCTGCCTCAGCCTCCCAAGTGCTGAGATTACAGGCATGCACCACCATCCCCAGCCATGTATCAATTCTAAGTAATGCAATTTTAGTGAAATTTAAACAAAGCACTAAAACATTATTAACAATTAGCACAATGAAAACACAGAAAGCCAGAAAGGCTGAAATCATTTAATCTCAGCTAGATGACACGCTTAGATGAAATACTACTCCAGGAAATACTTTAGTATCTACTGTTAGACATGTCTGGGTAAAGTGTAATTACTCAAATAAAAACAAACACTTTTGCTTCAGTTTTGAAATAAATCAAATTAAGTTCCTTGCATTTATAAACAATAACAGCAAAGAAATGACTCAAAGTGTCTAAAAAAAAAAAACAACCCAGCACTTTAAAGCAATTAATTTTCCTGCCTCAACTCTCAAAATAGTCAATCCCCTAATACATTACATCATAATCTAGGGAAGAGATCTCATAAGCTTCCCTCGGCAAGTAAGCAGGACATGTTTAAAGTCAGCCAAGAAGAATCTCCTTTAAAACATAACAAAAATATTCTCTGTATTTAATAGATCATATTGCCACAATCGCTTTCCAGTTCTTTTTAGCATAGAAAAGATTCTTTACCTACATTTACTCTCTGGTGTTAGGCTTCTGAGAATACCTAGACCTAGAGAACAGTACTCAGGCAAGAGATAAGGACGAAAAGAAGTGTCAGAACCCAGGCATGGTGGTGTTTGCATGTAATCCCAGCACTCTGGCAGGTTGAGGCAGGAGTACCACAAGTTCGAGTCCAGCCTGGGAAATTTAACCATTTATTAAAGCTCTGTCTCCAAATTTTTAAAAACCACCTTTTTAAAAATGAAAAGAGGCTGGGGATGTAGCTTATTGCAAAGCTTCTAAGTTTAATCCCCAATACCACAAGGAGAAAAAAAAAAAAAAAAACAATGTTGGAAAGGAAAAAGACTCAAGAAGCAACTTTTGGCATAAAAAAGCAGCTTCACTATTTATTCATCCAAAACACTACGGTCAAATAAAATTTTAAATTGTCCTAATATAAAGTAGTCCTCAAACTGAGTGTATTCAATCATTAAAGCAATCTAAATACAAATGTATTTAGAGAACTCCATATTTGGAGTTCTGAAGGTTTTGTTCTTTATGTTTTATTTTGTTTATTCCCAAAAAGATTTATCAATGTATACTGAGATTGTAAGAATATACTTTATCTTCAATTTATAATGCAGGTATCTTAAATTCAAAAAACAACTTTTTAAGAAGTAGTCCCCCAGATCACACAATTTACAGTACTCAAACCAGGTCTTCAGAGCCAGGCACTACATATCCCCATGCCTAATATTCCTCCATTTAGCAGCTTTCTGGGAACTGTGTCTTCCCCCAGTAAGGATTACACTGTCCTGAGGTTCTGTTAACGAAAGTTCCCAAAAGAAAGTAACACCAAGAATACAGTGCTTGCAAAGAAAAAAAAAAAAAAAAAAAAAAAAAAAAAAAAAACCCACTTCAAACCAGGTGCAGGAACAGCACACCCTGTAATCCCAGCTACTCAGAAGTTGAAGCGAGAGGATCACCTGAACCCAGTAGTTTGAAGTTAGCCTAAGCAACACAGCGAGACCTTGTCTGACAGAGACTGCCTTGCGGCAGCATTCAACAACCTTTAACATTAATCAATTGGCTTTCTATATTAATTTATGAGACTGTCCCAGGACTAAGTGACTTGCCTAATGAGCCAGCAGCTGGCATGCAGAAACAGAACTCTCCACACCAACAGTCAGGGTAGAGGCCTGTAGTGGCCTGTGACACTGTGACATCTCTGAAGGCAAGATAACACCACAGCTGAGGACACTGACTCCCCCTTAGATTTCTAGTGCAGTAACTGAAAACTTTAGAGATAAAACAGTCCTCTCATTAAGCAAGGATTTACTGCTTGGAATGTCTTTTTTCCATTTGCACAAGGCCTTGCTCACTATGATGCTTTTCACCTCAGCTATTCCCTGCATTTCTCTGCACGCCCTCTGATGCAGACCCAAAAAGTAGTTCCAATTCAGAGAAGTCGGGGTCTTAGCCACAAGAGCACTGACGTTCACAGATCCCTATATACCATATAGCTTTTGGCTACTGTCTTTTATCCTTTCCTGTAAACTCACCCAGGGCATTAGAAGGCTGGCCAGCTCCCAATACTTGTCTCAAGTGGGGTGCGGGAGATTATGCTCTTTCCACTAAGGGATCCCAAAGTATGTCACCCCTAGAACAGTCTTCTTTGGCAAATGCAGTATTTTGAGCTAAAGACCATTGAAAAATAGCAAGCAAAGCTCTAAAAAGAAGGTACAAGTTTCATTTTGCAAATGACATTTATAAAAGAAATTTCTATTTATAAAGACATCTCCCTATCCTAAACCAGGAAGAGGAGGACTCTGAGGCAGACAAGAAGTGTTTGGCTCCTTCCTTTTTTCTCCTCTAATGCAAGAAGGGGCAGGATCGGGCCAATGGCCATCTCGCGCCTCTCCCTCCCTTCCCTTTGCTCCCCCCTCCAAGGTGGACTGGGACAACTAGCCTCAGTGTCCTCCTGGTTATATAGCAGCCACGCTCCTCCTGGCTGCTCCCACAGGGGTGCACTTGGCTGTCAGCTGTAGTGCCCTCTTCTGCTCCAGAAGTTCCGAGCACTGCCAGCTCTTTGCAGAAGTGACAGAGACACTGACTCCTAACATGGCCAAGATGGGTGGGGTATCAGAACCCATTATTAACAACCCCACCACCCTCAAACCCCAACAGAGTAGCCACCATGACAGCTGTTCCTTGAACACCCAGTTCCTGCTCCAGGAGATGTTTTCCCTGACTGCAGCAGGCTCCAATTTAAATTCAGAAGTAGAACTGGGTTTGGGTCCATCAGCAGGCTTGGGTCAGGCTGGCCTTTAGACCAGCAAGGACCAATCAGCAGGCGCATATATGGACCACTCAAAGGCCTGCTGTGGCTTCAAAAACAGCAGCCCTCACCCTCCTCAAGTTGGTCTAGGAGGGCTCCTCTGGTGCACGGACCTCTGTCCTGCAGCATAGGCTCTGTTCAAACAAAGACTCGCTCTGGTGGTCCTGTATACCTGCTTGTGACCTGTTTCTCAGGTAGTGTGGTCTCAGAAGGTCCTTTAAATCTCCTTGGGATTCATATCATGAGTAGTGTGGACAAAGTGGTTGCCTCAAAAGAAAGAGCTGTAAATACTAAGGGCTGTTAGCCCTGAACAGCTCCAGAGACCTGCAGCTGATGAAGAACAACCACTGAGACCAGCATCTGGTAGACCTAATTGACAATCCAGCACCAACCAACATGGAACAGAGGCAGCTTGCAACAGCTGACACCGACAACCACGAGTATCCAAAATGTCAACCTGCATTAACCTGTGTCAACCTTTGGCATCAGGACTGATAGAAGAGCTGTGTTTTTCCCAATTCATGATTTCTATCTGAATTGAGCAAAAGAACCCTTAACTGCTTGACAACATTTTAATTCATCAATGAAGAAAACCATGACTTAAATGTACATAATAAACTTTACCATACAACCCTTATTTACCATACTTTTCCTGGTCATCTTTACAGCCCAGAAGCCCAAAATACATTTCCTTTACTTAGCCTATAATGGTATTGAAGCCCAAGTGCTATGCACCCCATTGTGTTAGTCACACTGAAGGATCCCATGTATACAGCTGCAACATGCATGTCAATAAATTTTTGTTTTTCTCGTGAATATATCTTTGACCAATCTATAGGGCCACTGAGGATATAGCTCAGTGGTACTATACTCGTTTAGCATGCATGGGGAACTATATTCAATCCCCATGATACAAAAATATTAGTGTATAAAGTATAAAGTCCCAGCTGAAGAACCTAAGATAGAAAAAGGAAAAGAAAAGATCTTTTCCTTCCCTATGCCTTTTTCTGCCTGGCCTTCTCCCCTCCCATAGAATGGGGACAGTTATATTTAATTAAAACTAAATCTGGCCTGAAAATGTCTCTATATCTGAGTTCCTATGAAATAAAGTACAAACTAACCTAACACAAACAAACTGATGGTCCTACTGAAGAGCAGCCTTTACCACTCACAGTAGCCAGGTTTCAGCCACTCACAGAGGGCAGCTGACCACACTCACACAAGGCAGACATGAGCTGTGCCCATCAAGCTGTTCTGGCATCACTTCTACTTCTATGCTCACAAATGCTGCCTGTTCACAATGCACAGGGGACCTCTTTCAACTTCTGCTTCTAACAACAACCCAGATCCCAAAGCATTCTTTGCTTAAGTGGCCTGTTTAACTTAACCTGTCTAAAGTTTTCTTTCAACAGTTGAAAGTGGAAAAATTAACAGAGAGGAGTTCAAGGCCTGCCTGGAATACACAGAGAGACCCTGCCTTTAAAAAAAAATGGGATGATACTGCCTGTTCACGCATAGGCAGAACCAATACAGTTAAAATGGCCATACTTCCAAATTAATATAAAGATTCCACACAATCTCAATCAAAATACCAACAGCATTCTTCACAGGACTGGAGAACTCAATCCTAAAACTCAATCCTAAAATTCATATGAAATCAGAAAAGACCCAGAATAGTAAAAGGTAACAAGAGCAATGCACAATGCATCACAATGTCAGACTTGAAATTATATTACAAAGCCACTGTAATAAAAAGAGCATGGTGCTGGCACAAAAACAGACATAAGAGTCAATGGAACAGAGTAGACGATACAGAAATAACACCAAGAGCACTTAACTATTTAAGCCACTAACATACAATTGGAGGAAAGATAGCCTCTTCAATAAACACTGTTGGGAAAGAAGACTGAGTGTCTCACCATGTACTAAACTAAAATCAAAATGGAGCAAAGAACTAAACCTTAAAACAGGTTGGTTTCACTTAAGATGACAGAAGATAAAATAGTTAAAACTCTTGAAGTCATAAGCATAGTCAAGGACTTTCTGAACAGAATCCCAATGGGATAAGATCTAATACTGAGAATCAAGAAATGGATCATATAAAATTAAAAAATTATTTCCAGCGGAAGTTCTTACAACCAATAGTGTAAAAAGATAACCTATAGAGTGGGAAAAAAGACTTTTGCCAGCTATTCCTCAGACAAAAGACTCATACCTAGAATATATAAAGAACTCAAAAAACTTTGATCCCCCAAACAAAAGACCCAATCAAAAAATGGGCAAGTGAAATAGATTCTTCAGAGATAAAGTATAACTGGCTAATAAATACATGAAGAAATGCTGCCACTGTACATTAAAGAAATGTAATTTTTTTTTTTTTTTGGTCTTTTTGAGAAGGGATCTCACTATGCACTTCAGGCTGGTCTTAAACTCTCTTTGTAGCCCAGATTGGCCTCAAACTCACAACAATCCTCCTGCCTCAGCCTCCCAAGTGCTGGGACAACAGGCCTGTGCTACCACACCCAGCTCAAGAAATGTAAATTAAAACAACACTGAGATACCATCTTACTACAGAAAGAATGGCCATCATCAAGAAAATCAAATAATAATAAATATTAATGATGCTTTGGGGGAAAAGAGAACCTTTCTATACTGTTGGTGGAAATGTAAACTGTACAACCATTACGGAGATTCCTCAAAAAAAAAGAACTAGAAATTCCATTAGACCCAGCTATTCCCCTTCTGGATATCTTCCTGAAGAGTCAAAGACATCATATTATAGGGCTACATGCATACCCATGTTTATAGCATCATAATTCATAATAGCTAAATTTTGGAAGCAGCCTATATGTCCATTTGCAGAAAAATGGATAAAGAAAATGTGGTATTTATACAACATAGAGTACTATTATGCTATTAATAAAGATAAACCTGAGACATCTTTAGGAAAATAGATGTAACTTCAGACCATAATACAGTATTAAGTGAAATAAATCAGACATACAAGCTTAAATATAAGTAAATAAAATACAGATAACAGAAAGTAGGGAGACAGACCTTTCCAAAACAGGAAATGCATCAAGAGATGGAGAGAGAGAAGAGGGAAGGAAAGAAAAAGGGATGAAAAAAGAAATTAAGACATGTTATGTACATGGACCAACTCCACACAAGAAATGTACATCACATACTGCAAATATGTACTAACAAAAAAAAAAACTTAATGTGACTTTAGAGAACAAAGATAGCTTATTTTCCTGAGATAACTACTTCAGAATAAAGGTAGTATTTGAGAATCTAAAATTTCTGATCATTTATTAAAAGTATTAGTGATATAATATTAAAATCAGTTACATATCTGAAAAGAGAAAACTTCCATAGATTTTGCCCACAGTTATACAAATTGACTATAGTAAGTGTATATGATGTCTATATATGACTAAATATCATTTTATCAATTCAAAAGTAAATGAATATTAGAACATTTATGCTACTGACCTTATTTTAATAAGAAAATTTTACTTAGGAGGCTACTTAGGATAAGATACAATACCACAAAAAAAAACTCCAAATGTCTCCTTACAACCATTTCAATGTAATTTTAGATAACTGCTAAACAATATAAAGACGTTCAATGAACTCAAAGCCATTAGTCACTGTGCTAACTAAATTAGATTACATAACCCATCAAAAGTAAAGATCTGTATTTTGTCCTTTTCTTGGCAACCATTAAAATTCCATAAAGAAGTCAGATGCTCAGTAAATATCTGTCGTGAAATATACAATGTTTGGAAAAAACTATTTAAGAGAAAATAATCCTTACAGCTTACATGTAATCTGTATAGTGTCTATGGTGTCTCGGCTTCCTTCCCCAGTAAGTGATTACAGAATCATTACAGACTCCATGGATGCTCGCGCTCTACCAGAGCACAGTGAGGCAGCGCTTTCAAGCCAGTGAGGCCCTGCAGCTTCTCTGTACTAAGCTAATACCCACCAAAGGCAGTCACTCTACTGACCAAGGGTTGTTGGCTATGTCCAAACACTGCTTCAGACATCTCCTCTAGTGCACCTCAATTCATTTTCAGAAGCACACAGACTATAAAAGAAAACACAAAAACACTGTATCTGGGAGAGGAAAGCTGGGGGAAAGGATGTCAAGCTCAGCTGACACTTCTATCTGCTGACACCAGTGCTATCACTGACACTAGAGCTGTTTGTGCTTCCCGTTACAGGGAAAGCCAGGAAAAGTTCAGTCTGGAACCTCAAAGCATACTCAAGAGAACAAAAACATTAATATCCCATATTTCTCAATTTAAACCAAGCCAGGACAAACATATAAACTCTCAGCCTACAAGTAATATTAAAGGCTGAAGAAATGAGAGATGAGGGAAGTGAGGTGGGACCTAAGGGAATGCAGCTTTTAGGCAACTTCTGGTCACCAGAGAATACAAAGCTTTTAAATTAACATACAATAAAAGAACAATAAAATCATTCCCAGGGTCAACAACCTCCATTTGGAACATTTATTTAGAGGTAAATACTAATGCCCCATAAAGAAACTGTGACTAGACAAACCAGTGTCTTTCAGGTGGTTTTAGCTAGGTTTTTGTTTTTGTTTTTTTTTTTTTTTAGTACCAGGAATCGAACTCATGACCTCAAGCTTGCCAGGCAAGCACTGATGCCACTGAGCTACATCCCTGGCCCTGGTGGTTTTAGAATATATATATTTTATCACTACTGCATACCCAAAGCCCCAGCGGTACTCTAAAGGCCTCAGTCTTTCTGGCCATAATTCTTATGAGACCAGAAAGGGCCAAGAGCCTGAGCTAATTTGCTATTCCTAAGATGTCCCTCCTCCAAGGCTCTGCATAGCACCCCCACGGGGCTTCCAGAAGAGACTCATTCCCCAAGAGGTACTCAGGATATCTGTGGGCAAGTTCTCCTCCAGGGCCTGAGTAACTCAGTAAAATATCACTTGCTCCTAGGGAGGCTGCAGCAGGAAGATCACCCTGTGTTCTAGGTCAGCCTGGGCAACTTGGCAAAACCCTATCTCAGTGTAAAAAATAAAATAAAATTTTAAAAAGTTGGCAAAGTAGCTGAGGGCTAGCGTGCACAAGGCCCTGGACTCTGTCCTCAGCACTGGGAAGGGAAAAAAAAAAAAAAAAAAGCCACTCGCAGTTAACGTGCTTATGGTCAAAACTTGAAGATCTAGATGCATGAATAAAGTGACCTATATAGCATCTTCTCCATTTATTCTGGAATATAAATATGTGCCCCACCAGTAGGAGGAGCAACATCTTCTGCCATGAAACCAGCAAGACTGCACTCCATCAGCCTCAGATATACAGCAGCAAACAAAGAGACAATGGCAATGAGCAAGAGAAGGAAACAGCACACATGAGGTAAAGAGGATACAGAGCCACTGCCCACTGTCTCAGTACTACCCAGAAATCCATCATACATCCATTCAATAAGCATGTACCAGATGTCTACACTATACCATGTGCCTGGCCACCAGGCCCACCTTAGAGAACCAGCAGCTCTTTACCCCAAGGAGACAGCCCAAGAATAGCCAGCTTAGTGATGGCACATACAAATTACCACTCAAAAATTACAAAGAAGGTCCAAACCCAGAGAGTAAGACAAATTCAAATCCTAGAAACTAATACTTAAAGAAAACTCCAAAAGAATGCATAAGGGTTTATGTACATGGAGTAGCCCTGTAGAAGCTTAGCTTTATCATAACTATAATAAAAGTCCCCAAAATTGACATCCACATGTGGCAGATTAGGGCACAGCAGGTTGGCTGAAAACATGGTGCAGGACGGGTCACCCGAGCCAGACCAGATGCTGATCAATAAAATGTGACCTGCAACCACAGCCAGGATGCATGGGCAGAGCAACTTCCAGTGGACCCTAGATCTGGGAAGACATAAAGACAGTGGCCACTGACTTCACTGCCACTCAGTCTTGCGGTCTGACTGCCCTCCTATTTCTGCAGTGGCTCATCCTGCTTGTAGAATATATTGTTTCTTGCTCTTGTCTTCACTCTTTCCTTTCTTCCTTTCTTCTCTTTTCTTTTCCCTTTTCTTCTTTACTTTAAATAAAATTTGCATTTACCTGGTTAGTGGCTGTCTAGGCCAATACTTTGGGCTGGAGAGAAAGAGCCTGGAATCCCTGGACATGCTGGCATCCAGCAAGACATAAAAATAACTCTCATTTGAACTAAAACATATACTGAAATTAAAAAGTTGAAGTTATCTCTTAATTTCAATAAGTGTTAAAATGCTGAACCCAAATGCTGCCCTACAGAAGCATGTCAGACAATGAAACCTGCTTAAGCTGCCTAAGTGGCTTGCAGTCTAGGTGAGCCAAGACAATTTAAAGCCAAAAAACTGGAACCCACAGGAGAAAACACCTGAGGTTTACCAAGAAAGTACACCTCAGCCACTGTGACTCAGCCACTGTGACCTCAGCATAATGAATTTTGCTGTTATTACTGAACATTTCTCAAGACTCAAGAGTCTAGGACCACAGAAGGAGGCTCTACTAGTTCTAGGCAATTCTGGACACAGTTCCTGAATGGAAGGGAACAGAAGGAACCACCTGCTAGAAATAAAAGTACACAGAGAAATGGGAGACAAGAAAATACAATACTTAAATATCTGAAAAAATAACAAATCATGGAAAATGCTAACAAAGACAAGAAAACCACCCAATGACTGTTTTGAACTCTTCCTCAAATCAAAACTAGGGAATATTTACTTTGTATTAAGAAGCCCTGTTTGTAATATAAATTTCACATTAGGAAGGCAAATGTTTCTTACCTGAGACAAAGTAGACACAAAGTTGTCTTGAATGCAACACAGCCAAATGAAGCATTTCAGTACCTCTGAAAAAGAAAGTTTTCAAAGGTTTTAAACATTAATTTCAGATACCAAAAAATTACAAAGTAATTTCAAGAATATCTCACAACTACAACCACTGTAAGTAAGCAAAACAATTGATTAGATAAAACTATAAGCTGAAAAATAAAGTTAACAACAACTAGACAACCTCACAATCCCACAAGCTCAGTACTCTGTTTGCCAGGTATGGTGGCACTTGCCTGCAACTCCAGCTACTCAGGAAGATAGGACAGGAGGACCCCAAGTTTGAGACCAGCCTGGGAAACTCAGTGGGACTCTGTCAAGCAAGGAAAGGCAAGAAGAAGGAAAGGGGGAGGGAGAGAGAGAGAGAGAGAGAGGAAGGAAAAAAATACACTGCCTCCAGGAGCTGCCTTCATCTTTAAACAATGGGGCCTCCAAGAGAGAGTAAGCCCAGAGTCACCTTTTGGAGGACCCGGAGGACCATCCCACAGTAAAAAGTAAAGAGCTCCAGGATGGTCTGCCTTAGTAATTCACCTGTCACTCTGGGCAGGTCACGTAACCTCCCTGAGCCTGTTGAAAACAAGATATTTCAATTAAATGAAACACAATCATGTAAGCACCTCCTAACGTACGAAGCACTACCAATGCTCATCATTATTAAGAAAGGCATGTAACACTTCCAAATTTGAAATATTATTAAAATACTGAGAACATGCAGTAAACTCCCAATATCCCTGCTATACTTCCAAGTCCATGTCAAGTGATCTCCAGAGAGCAACAGGGCACAGGCTACAAGCCCTAAACTCACAGTCTTCAAGAGTCAAACTGATGGATGTTATGACTACAGGACGGGAACAGCTGTGATTAACGGGAGGCTGGGCCAGACTTCAGGAGGTGGCTACTACTTGATTCTGAGCTTGTGACCATAGCTCTACACTCATCAAGAAAAGTCACAAAGCAGGGATTTTGTGTGAAACCTCTGGTTCTGAAATGCTGGCAGCTTTTTAAATTTAAAACACTGCAGTCCCATGTGTGAAGCAGCCTCCAGTGTGCAATTTCTGTACAGGCTCTGTTCTAAACTGCAAGGACTGTAATTCAAGTCTGAAGACCTGGATTGGGGTTCAGACTTGGCACCTTACTAAATGTGTTTAATATTTCAGATTAATGAACTTTTAATATTTCAGGTTAATGTTACCATCTCATTCACAAAATAAGAATTGTATTAGATAATAACAATCACAAAAAGCCATACATCTTAACGTCCTCTGTCATTTTCAAGTGAAGTTTATTATATGCTTAAACATTTTCCCTGCAGACATGAGTGACTTGAAGAATAGCTGTACAAAGAACTCTTTGAAAAGAGACTTTGACCATAGTTTTTTCCAGCGTAAAGCAGTAACTTTAGTAATTTCTATCAAAGTTTAATGCCACTGTCTCAACTTAAACAATTCTAGAATTTCCAAGGTTCTTTAAAGAAAAATTGTAGTAGTGGTCTTCCTGATGAAGTTGTATTTTGAAATTTTGTGAATGAGTTACATATTAATAGTCTGATGTATCTTTCATATCTGCTTTTTCATAAGGAAAATAGTGACTTTATTTGCTTTTTTATGGGAACTTCTCAATATGGTAATGACCATTTAAAATCTTCTCTCCTTTAGTCAGTGGGTTAGGAATAGGCACAGTAGACTACAGATTTAATTCATAGTAATTTCATTTATAGAAAAAGTCCTTATTTTTAATATTGCTTTAAGATGAGTCAGGATAAAAGAGGGAAACCACTAATACTTGAATACCTAAATTTTGCAAACTACTTAGGAAAGTTTTCTCAACAAATTATTTTTGTTATTACAGTATTATTTAAAATGTGTAAGTTTATGTTTCAATTAAAAGTGGCTTTCTCCTAAAAAAATTGTGTTAGATAATAGCTACAAAACACTATTGGTCTGATGGACATGTAAATACCGATCATTTGCACTGCTACTAGAAAATGCAAATATACACAACTATCCATATACTTGATTGGGCCATCAGAAATGCTTTTATGCAGCTGGAAAAGCAAAGCAATTCTCCCTTATGCTCAAGAAAACAGCATGATATCATAGAAAGAGAGCAAATATGGAGTCAGAGACAGCTCTGATTCTTGGCTGTGCAAGCCTACACTCAAGCTCATTTCCTTACCTCTTAGTATTTAGAAATTACTTTTTCAAGAAATATTTTTATACTTCATTGGTATAATTCAGATATACATAATGATCACATTCATCATAGGGAACTTGTACCTGTACATGAAATATCCTAGCTGTTTTTTCCGCATCCCCCTCCCCTCCCTTCAACCCCTCTTCCCTTTCTTATTTACAAAGCTTTGTTTCCATTTTATCCTTTTTTGTCATTTTTTGCTTTTTCATTCCTTCCCCTATTCCCCTTTCCCTCTGAACAATTTCTTTCTAATTCACAATATCTACTATATATTTTGATTCTTACTTACACTTTCAATTTCTCACACCAGAAAGACAATGCAATATTTACACATGAGGGTCTAACTCACTTCACTAAAAAAAGAGTATGGTCTCAAGGTCCATCCATTTAGCTACAATGTCTCCAGTTTGTCCTTTTTTATGACTGAGTAGTAGATCACACTGGTCTGGTAGAGAAGACTGAGACAATGCTTATAAAGACCAGTAAGAGCATCCACTCATCAACCTCTTCCCCTTCCCACAGGTGATCATGAAGATGGGAATTGCACATAAACACCACCTTCCAACATGCTGACTGCATTTCACTTTTTGAAAAATGGAAAGGTAAAAATGGCTTTTACTTTACAAGTCTATCATGCCTATTATGAGCCTTGTTCACCATGGATACCTGTTCTGGTTTGGGTCTAAAATGTCCCCCAGCAGGTTCATATGCTCATAGATGGGGCTTTTAAAGCAGTCTAAATATCCAGCAACAGATGAATGGATTTTTTTTTCAATATGGTATTTACACAAAGCAGAGTACTACTCTGCTATAAACAAAGATAAACGAGTCGTCTGTAAGAAAATGGATGCACCTTGAGACCAGAGGTTAATAAATCAGACTCACATGCTTAAATATTGTATGCCAAGGTGTAAATAAATTAAAGAGCAAAATGAAAGTACAGCAAACAGACATCTTTTGCAAATGGGAAGGGGATCTAGAGATGGAAGTATGGGGGGCCAGGTAGGGAAAGCGATGCAAGAAGAATTAAGATGCATTATGTGCATGTACCAACTGCCACAATGAGTGTGATCATTTTGTACTACAAACACAGATGCATAAAAATTTAAAAACAACAGCTGGGGCCCTGGAGGAAATTGGATCATAGAGCTCTATCCTCCAGGGAGCTGACCCACTCACTGATGGAGTCAGAATCCGATGGCACTGGTGGGGAGTAAAGGGAACTCAGGAAGAGACCTAGCTGAAGGCCACACATCAGGTAGTACAACCACCAGGACTGCATCTGGTCCCTAGCCCCTTCCTCTCTGGCTTCTCACAGTCTCTGTTTTCTGGCTGCCATGATGTAAGCAGTTTCCTCCACTATGATTCTGCCTCACCACAGCCCCAAAAGAGACAGAGCCTGCTGACTATGGACTGAAAACTCTGCAACCATGAGCCACAGTAAACTGCCTCACTTAAGTTATACTTAGGTATTCTGTCACAGTGCAATTACGCTGAGTAACATAATGCCTAGTCATCATCTCCTAATAGATGGAGTAAAGACAGACCAGCCTTATACATCACACAACTCCCTGGTCCAGCCTGTTCCCATATATAAAAGTCTTACTTCATGCTCTGGCTAAGGTACACATGCTATAAGTTCCCAGCAAGACAGAATGGTCACTAGAAGACAGAGAATGCACAGGAGGATTTGGCTACTTTCCAAACAGGAGTCAGAACCCCAAACAAATGGCACCTGAGGCCAATGAATTATGATGAGCAAACACAGAGCCAAATCCAGAATTCAGGTCACTAAATCTACTTAACAGGTCACTGGGGGCTCAAAAAAAAGAGGTAAACAAACCAACTGGGCCTGCATGATAACTTTTCCCAATACTTTTAAAAGATTAAGAAATCTGGGCCTAATTTTAAGATTCATGTATGAAAATAAGATAAAATCAGCAATATCATCAGGAAATAAAAAGCAGATATATTACATCAAGTGTAAACTAGTAATTTTCTAAAATAAATTAAGTTTAAAAGCAAAGTACTTTGAAACAAATTTCTTGTATGGAGAGGACTTATTTTGTAGGTTAAACTGACTTCATTCAAGATAGGATTCCATCCAAGTAAATCATTTTAAAACTTCAAAATTATAAGCCAAAAATAATTATCTGACATTATGGCTAATTATTTCAATGGACACATGAATTGGACAATTTGCCCTTTAAATAAGTAAATGAATATTTCTTTATTTGGTTATTTTTAGAAATTATCAATTTCCTTTAAGACTCTAGTACGTCAGGTACCTTAGGTCTACTACTATAAAAAGGCCCTAAATTATTCTATCATAAATGTAGAGGTTTCCACATAAAAAAGTGCTCAGTACATAGGGAACACCTGCTTGACAATCCATATAATTCTTCTTTGAGAATCCACAGAAGTGACACAGTAAGAGACTGACGCTCTGAACATGCAATGCCAGGATTCCTGGCCTGTACTTACGAAACAAACTTTCCTACTTCCACTTGAAGAATTGGGTCTCGTAGATGCACTTCTAGAAGCAGATCTTCCGCCTGAGCTCCATCACCCGTTTTTACAGGACGGGGGTTGAAGATTCTAAGGTATCCCATAAAGCTGCCCACAATTATTTTGTCTGTAAAGAGGTTTTTTAAAAAAAAAGATACAGGAAAAAAAAAAAAACAAGTATTAGCAACTATCTTTGGGAATAAAACTTCTAATGTATAAAAGAAATCTAAATAATAAAAGAATGCTTTATATACAAAGGCCACTCTGCCAACTGAAGACATATTAAAGTGAAAGTGTCTGAAGAACACACAGCTTTTAAAAAGCAGCTTTAGGGCTTAGGGGTGTGCCTCAGTGGTAACAGCTTGCCCAGGTTGACGGAGACCCTACATTCAATCCCAACTACTGCAGGGAAAAAAAAAGTTTTATATTGCCAATACTTAAGTATATTCAAGCCTTGATTTGGCATTAGTCATGATTTATCTCAATCAAAGCAAAATATTTTATCAAAGTACCAGTACAAGATTGTAAACTGATTTCAACATGAATTATCACCTTTACAACTGGTTGTGACTGTCACAAACACTATACTAGAAAGGAATGAGAAGAGTCACTACAGTGACCTGGCTAACAATGTCTAGTCTTGACATTGAGGGGAATATGACAGGTGTTATAAGTTAAACTGTGTCCCCTAAGATCATATGTTGATGTCCTAATCCCCAGTATCTATGAATGCGATCCTATTTGGAAACAGGGTCTTTGCAAATGTAACCCAGTAAAAATGAGGACATAGTCAATTAGGCGTGTGACAGTACTCTAGTCAGGGCCTGTAAGAAAAGAAAACAGAAATACAGGTAGGCAAGTGCCATGTTAAGACACAGAGACACCCAGAGAGAAGACATCTACATGACAAGGTGGCAGAGACTGCAGTGGTGCATCTACAAGCGGAAGAGGGCCTGCAACCACCAGGAGCTGGAAGAGGCAAGAAAACCCTGGAGGCTTCAGAGGCAGTGTGGCTCTGCCAACCCCTGAATTTTAGGCTGTCAGCCTCTAGAATTATGAGAAAATACATTTCTAGTGTTTTAAGCCACAATCTGGGTACTTTGTTACAGTAATCTTAGAAGTTCTACACACTCACTTATTGGGTAAAAAGTAGTTTATATCTGTTAACTCATGAAGTCCTCATGATAACCCTACAGAGAGGTCCTCTCATGGGAACCTCAATCCCAAATGCAGTGACACAGATGACCAGGTCTGTGGGGCTGGACAACCGCATGGCTGTGCCCTGGAGGCCCACAAGATCTCAGGGAGATCTCTGGAGCCATTTGTTCACAACTGTCTCCACCAAACAAGCTGGGGCCAGTTCAACTCTGCCTGCATTTGAGAAAGCTACCTCACTCTCATTTCAATCTCTTCTTTATGTAAACTGATCATTTCTCTGTGTCACCAGACACAAAAAACTGTACACTTTACTAGAAAGGATTCTGAGGGGTCAGTCTAGTGCCCTGGCTAACAATGTCTAGTCTTGACATTGATGGGAATATGACAGGTGTTATGGTTTCTGCCTGGGTGTCCCCCCCAAAGCCTCATGCGGCAGGCTTTTAGAGTTTGATTGATTATGGGTGTGAGAGCTGCACCCACCCTGGGGTGGATAGTTTGCATATGTAAGGGAGAGGAAGAGGCTGCTTGAGGCCATTCCTCCCTTGTGTGTGTTTGTTGATTCGGCTGTGTTCTGCTGCCATGAGCTGTAGCCTTCTGCCATGTGCCATTCTGCCTTGTAACCTGCCAAGTATGGACTGAAACCTCCACAAACTGTAAGAGAAATAAACCTTTCCTTCCTTAATTTTGGGCGTCAAGTATTTTGTCCCAGCAACGAGAGAAAAGTAACCAAGACAACAGGTGTTACAGGTTAAATTGTGTCCCCTAAAATCATACATTGATGTCCTAACCCCTAGTATCTATCAGAAGATAACTGATGTAGAAATGAGCACTAGAGAATAATAAACTGCAGGCACCAAATCCCACAAGGGTACTTGGAATTGGTTCTTGAGTTCAGCTGGGGATCAGAAGTAAAACTCTTGTCCATATTCTAGGTATGCACTGGGCACATACTCTGCATGGTACCAGATAACTCAAGTTACTACTGCTAGTCACCCAGAGTCCTACTTGCTGCAGGTGAACCTCCAGGGAACTGGACAATTACTTCCATAGGACAAATGACAGAAGAAAGAAAGCCAAACCCTATGTAAAACAGCTTTTTCTAAAGGAACTAGATAATGTAAAATAAGGAAATAATCAATTTGAACCTCAAAATCTTCACCATAAGGCAAAGAATAAGTCAGGGACTCGAACCATGCAGAAAGAATTTCTTACCACTTATATCAGGGGACTTAAGCACTGAGAATCTATTCAGAGATGCATGCTTTTGGTTTTAGATCACAATAACATATGACTTAACAAATCTCTTCAGGTTTTTAAGTAAAAGCAATGACACTGATCAGAAAGAATAAGACTATACTGTTACAATGGAGTTACTAAGAAAATCTAGAAAGCAGCTATATGTTGGCATGCATCTATAATCCAAGCAGTCAGGAGACTGAGGCAAGAGCATCACAAATTCATGGCTAGCCCAGACCACACAGAGGGCTCAAGCCCAGCCTGAACTACAGAGTAAGACCCTGTCTCAAACAACTAAGAGTCTATGTTATGGTTTGTGTCTGTGTGTCCCCCCAAAGCCTCATGCGGTCATGGGGCGGGCTTTTAGAGTTTGATTGGTTATGGGTGTGACAGCTACACCCGCCCTGGGGTGACAGTCTGCATATGTAAGAGGGAGGGAGAGGCTGCTTCTGGCCATTCCTCCCTTTTGTGCTTGTTGCTTTACTGTGTTCTGCCGCCATGACCTGTAGCCCTCTGCCATGTGCCACTCTGCCTTGTAACCTGCCAAGTATGGACTGAAACCTACACAAACTGTAAGCAAAATAATCCTTGCCTTCCTTAATTTTGGGTGTCAGATATTTTGTCCCAGCAATGACAGAAAAGTAACCAAGACAGTCTAGAAAACTTGAAGGAGGCTTAAGCCACCAAGTTTTTCTAAAATGCCCCCATTGAGCTTCCCTGTATCCTGTCATTCCCTAAACCCCACTGTAACTCACTAAATCACCAAGATTTGACTTCAGTACAGCCCTACTTACAGAAATAAGAGGAAGTCAAGACACTTAAAGCCACAAGGTAGTAAACTAACTTCAACAATGTGTATATACCATTTTTTAAACAATCGGACTATTACAGTAACTAGATCAACAGTCTAATCACAGATTTCAACCTGTGGTTAATTAACTACTATATAATTCCCCAAATTAAATGATCAGAAAGCTATTCAAAAACCATTAATGTGTTTTTCTGAATAATATTCAACGTAAGAAAGCACTACCGTGCATCTATTACATTTGTTAAGGCCTTTTTTCTTTGAAGTCTATAACCACAAATATTCCATGTCAGTGGCAAAGAAGACTAATACCAGCAGCCAGACTAGATAGTCCTGGCTTCTGCCTGTTCCCAAACGTATTCCAGTGTATAGACCTCGAACCCAACAACAATGACATGGCTCTGCACAGTCACTACGGTGATACCACATATGTCTACTGGACAGGGAGTCATCTCCCCAGGTAGATTCAGGAAAGGAAACGCCCAAGCTTTATAAGAATGCTGAATACTGGGCTCTGAGATACTAATTCTAGACTCCAGAAAGACAATGCTACTGCCAAATTGTGGAAGCCTAGTGATACGTGAATTTTTTTTCTTTTCCTTTAATACATAAACTTTCAGCACAGTTCACCCATTGAGAGAACAAACCCAATGTATTTTTTTCACCAATTTCTGAGAGTTTACAGTACCTATTTGGTTCCTGAATTTGTACATTTAAAGAATATGATACTAGGAGAGCTACACAACACTATTTTCCATGAAGGAGAATATCAAAATCAGTGTCACTCACATGCCAGATTTTGGATACCTTCCAAAATTCAGTATCAGAAACTTACATAGGTAGTTGTGATGATTCCTAGGACACCTCTACTTAATAATCAAAGTGTCAATATTAGTCTAATGGCTCATACAGAGTTAATCAGGATACCTGCACCCTCCCCACCTGTATTCACTTTTACCTTCTTGCTTTCTGTGACAGTGAAAAAGAAGTTCCCACCTATTCAAGGTCAGTTCACCCTTCCATCTGCATATCTTATCCCAACACTGACTATCTTCCCAGGATCCTTGCATGGTCAGTCACAGCTTCTGTCCTACACACTGACCCTACACTGTCCCCAAGTCATCATCCTTCCATAGCTAAATTTCTTTAGAGTGCCTTAAACAGTCTTCCCATCTCCCACTCAGTCTCACTCTCTGCACATCTAGATCTTGTTACCATGGTAACTATTCATCCACCCTCAGCAGGGATGGTAATGAACCACTTGCTACTAAATGGCAGGGACACTGGTCAGTCTTCTTGCCATTAAGCCTTGCCTCCCATACACCAGCCCAACTGGTCCACCTGCCTCTGCCAGCCTGCTCAGAATTGCTTACGAACCATCTGCCCATACTTCCCCTTTAATGTCTGCATTCTCCACGGTACAGTCCTAGGCTTCCCTCCTTCTTATCCAACTTCTTTCCCTGTATAGGGCTTGAAATACAAACAGCACAGCTCTCACTCCCAAATCTTTACCTCAATTCTGTATACTGGGGATTTCTATCAACTTACCATGCCATAAAAGCGACAATAATAATTCCCAATAATAATTCACAAAATGCAGCCAGGTGTGTGTGTGTGGTGCACATTTGTAATCCCAGCACTCAGGAGGCTGAGACAGGAGAATCACCATGAGCTCCAGGCCAAGCTAGGCTACATAGTGAGTTCAAGGCTGGCCTGAACTATATAGAAGACCCTGGTTCAAAAAACCAAACAAACAAAAAGAAAGAAGGACAAGGAGGGAGAGGGGGAGAGGGAGAGAGGAAGAGAGAGAGAAAGAGAGAGAGAGAGAGAGAGAGAGAGAGAGAGAGAGAGAGAGAGAGAAAGAAAAAGAGAGAATTAATTAATTCTCAAAATTTAGATACCTGACCCCTATCAACCCTCTCACCCACATAGAATGCAGTCTTATAAGATCTCCTTTGTCTGGAACAGAAAATCTTCACATATAAAAACCAGTCCAGGATACTAGGAAATAATGACCAATGCTTTTATCTATGTGGCACACAAACAAGAAACAATGTTTGTATATACTTTTTGGGAAAACAGAGGAAGCTGCTCACAGCTGGCCACAAACTAGGGGTTGGGGGGCAATATTTCAGCATACTGGTAACGACAAGTGCCACTCCAATAAGGAGCACTCACAGAAATAGCTGAGCATGTTATTTGGATAATCAGTAAGTGCAGTTTATAACCAAGGTGAGCTATAGACCATTTGGGCAGCAGTGGGTTTGACAGTGTCCTCTCTGGCAGGTACTTTCAGACTCTTATGTTGAGAGTGTGTGACTCTTATGTTGCCAAACACTACAGGAACTATAGCTCTAACAGCTGGGCAGAGGCAGGTGGATGATCCTTGAGGAACCTTCCAAGGACGCCCTCTGAACAGAGGCTTTCCCGCCTCATACTATATGAGGGAGGGTCCCAATTTTCCTCAGAAATAACTGACATAATGCAAAATGTCATTTAGGACCTATCGCTCTTCTTTGTCAACATAATTTCTCTCTCCACTTTTTCCTCAGATCCTGCTGTTTTAATTATAGTAAAGAGAAACAGAATAAAGAACAGTTAACAGGACAATATTCATTATATTGAACAAAAGAAAGGATATAAGAAGCTTCTTTTCCAAGAAGCCAACGATTACCTGGATTACAAAATAAAAGCTCGTGTCTATAAATGATTTAAACCACATACAGTAAGTCCCTGATTTACAAACAAGTTCTATTCCCAGGGAATTGTTTATAAATAAGATATGTTTGTTAGCCAACAAAGTGAGTCTCGTACAGTACAGCTGTGAAAGTTCACAACTTGTATATTCCTAGGTTGGTGACTTCCGGTATGAATTCCATACGCTAATGATCTGTAACTAATTGTTTTAAAAGCCACTTAAAACATATGAAGATGCAAAGAGGAATAAATAAAAACAGGACAGAAAGTGGCTTTAGTATTATAATATGTTAATGCCAGCAATGATTTGACAGTTGTTTGCTACCCACAAACACAGCTAGTATAATTTCACTATGACATGAATAGTTTTCAGATCCAATTTTAAAAGGACATTATTTTTCTTGTAAATAACTTCTAAATTGAGCATGGTGGTGAACACTCGTAATCCCAGGACTTGAGGCTGAGGCAGCTCCAGGACAGCCTGGGCTACATAGCAAGTCTGACACCAGCCTGGACTACATAATGAGACCCTGACACAAATAAATGAACGAACAAATGAATGCTGTAATTCTGACACCTCAATTACGTATTAAAAAGTAGATATTTAATAAGGCTCATTGTTTTTATTTGCTATTTTCAAAGCTTTGCTAGATGCATGGTCATGATGCTGGGATACAGCTCAGTAACAGGGCACTTGCCTAGGGGTGCGAGGCCTGGTTCAACCCACAGCACTGAGAACAAACTGCACGGCAGAAGCCGCTTACCTTGCCCACTCCTACTATTGTCAACATCGGCCAAACACAGACAGCCCTGATCAAATTCTTCTTTTTCTCCCAGCAGAGTGGACCACCAGTCACGGGCTTTAAACAGAGACATTTCCCTTCACTCTAAAAAGAAAGGATTCATTCTTAATAAAAATCCACTTCACATCATGAATTAATTATGTCAAGTAATAGCAAACTAGATCTGAATAACTTTTGAGATTAACATTTCTGTATTAACTTTGATTTTTTTGTATTTTGTACACATATATGAAACCACAAATTCAAACGGAGAGAAACATGAAGCAAAGAATTTTCAATACCATTGGTAAATTGGGCTGAAAAGTTTATGTTCGGGTAATCCTATCTTCAGAAACATTTGCAAAAGAATTGTGTAAAGAAATTTTTTAAGGGGGCTGGGGATTTAGCTCAGGGGCAAAGCGCCTGCCTGGCAAGCGCAAGGTCGTGAGTTCGGTTCCTGGTACCGGAGAAAAACCAAAAAAAAAGAAATTTTTAAAATATTCTTTCAAGGACCGTGATTTAAATCTACCACCCCTCTGAGTGCACAGTCCTTAGCAAAAATTCCTAACTTTCTTTCAATCTGAACTGCAGCATCTTCTGTTACAGGTGGCTGAAAAGATCCAATGAGATCAAAGAAATCAAGTAACTAACATGGAAACTGGTACATCACAGGTACAGAACTCAAAAAGCATTCACTCCCTCTTGTCATTCCAATCAAAAAAAAGGCAAGATAGAAGAGCAGAATTCACACCAGAAAAGATCCAGACACACTGGTTTGCAGTTCCATTTATACCACTAACAACCAGTGTGTCAGGATGAGCATATCCCAGCCCTACATTCTACTGAGTTACTGTTGTGAATGCACACTGGACCTTCTCAATTAAAGCACAGCACTGAATATGTCGGAATTCTGCAGAAGTTCACTTTGTTTTATTTTTTCTATTTTACTTTTATTAGTACATGTTTGCAGTACATAAGAATTAACATTTATTATGGGGAATTGGTACATGTATATAACACACCTCACTTTTTCCCCTTTTTTCAAGCATCAGATTCATTTATTTATCTTGTAAGTCCCTATAAGGTTAATTATCTCATATACAGATAAACAAGCAGGCTAAAAGGCCAAAAAATATAAAACACATGATAATAATACTAAGTCAGGGTATTTACTTTTAGACAAATTGGGGCTGGGGATATAGCCCAGAGGCACAAGCATTCGCCAGGCAAGCACAAGGTCCTGAGTTCAATTCCTAATACAAAAAAAACTTTTTGATAAATTGTCCATGTTGCATTCCAGCAACTTTTTTCTTTTTCTTTTGTCTTTTATTTTGCACTTTATTTATATATAGAGTTTCTTATATTAAGAGAAACTATGCAGTATTTAAGCTTATGTTGTCTGATTTACTTCACTTAACATTATGATGTCAAGGTACAACAATTTTCCTACAAATGACTCAAGTGTATCTCTCTGTATGCCAAGTATGTGTGAACTGATTTCTTATTTAATTAACTGTCTAAATACGGAACTAGTAGCTGTGTGTGGTGGCTCACACGTGTAAATCCCAGCACTGAGAGAGGCTGAAGCAAGACAATCCCAACTTCGAGTCCTACCTGGGCAACTGACACGCCCTTTGAAAACAGAAAATAAAAAGAACTGGAGATATATCTCAGTAGCAGAGCACCTCTGACACCAATCCAATCCCAAGTAGCACAAAAGAAACAAACTTGGATTTCTATTTTACACTCTATTCATTCAGAGTTGATTTCCAATTCCTCACTAATGCTTAAGTAAATGAAAAATGAAAACCAAACATCAAGTGTTCAATGACTACTATCTCTTTTCATGTAAAGGAAAATAGCTAATATTTACTGATCACTTAAACGTAGGGCAGTTTCTAAATGCTTTGTAAGTATCCTACATTAACCTTCATAACAGCTACAAAGTGAATCACGAGTCCTATCAGTCAGGTATCCCTGAACATAGATAGGTAACAAAACCTGTCCCTGAAATCCGAATCAATTAGCAGTGGGTGTGGCGACTAAACCCAGGTGGCTCCTCCACAACCCTGAACAAAGGGCCACCTCTGGCTGACTGCAAACTGTTGTCACCTGGAGTTCAAACTGCTGAGAAGAAGCTCACACATTTGATTACATCGTTAGAGGATGACTAGAAAGCAATAATTGAAAGGTGTTAACAGGTACATACACATAAATAAGCAAAAAATTAGCTTCTGAGTCCTTAGAATAATAAATAGGAGATAATCTCTTTATCCCTTAAAAGCTCCAGACAGTCTCTTCCTGTCACTTGACATCCTCTTTGTAGCTATTTCTTGTGGTTGTAGTGGTGGTGGTGGCTCTACGGGTGGAAGCTAGGGCCTGTGCCTGCCAGGCAAGTACTCTATCACTCAGTTACACCCCTGTTCCCACATACATACACTTTTTAAAAGTCTCACTGTTTATATAGAGAGTTTCTTATATTAAGAGAAACCATGAAATATTTAAGCTTGTGTTGTCTGATTTACTTCACTTAACATTATGATCTCAAGGTACAACAATTTTCCTACAAATGACTCAAGTGTATCTCTCTGTATGCCAAGTATGTGTGAAGGCTGATTTTAAACTTTAGATCCTCCTGCCTCAGCCTCCAGAGTAGCTGGGATTATAGGCATGAGCTACCACATCAGGCTTCTTTCCAGTGTTTAATACTTATTTATACACATGTTATCTTCTACACCAACATGCCTTAGATTTAGATTCCTCCAGAGAGGCAAGTTATTTTAATACCTCACTGGCCTAGTCCCACACCACAGAAGAAGAACAGAAGATCAGCAGTCACAAAGATAAGCGCCTCCCAAAAAAACTATGTGAGGAATGTAGAGGTCTGAAGACAAACTCTGTAATTAGGAGGAAAAGACCCAGATGCTATTGCTCATACTTGGAACTCAGTTTTCTCCACAATATCCTGGTGTCACATCAAATCTCAGAAAGCAGGAGGAATCAGGTCCTCCAGTCCAGGAAAGATGGCAGATGCACATAGAGTTAGAAGGATACAGCTTTCAAAGGCGGAATTACAAAGACTCAGCGCTGGGGAGTTCTCAGTAACAGACACAAAAGGCGAAAGAGCAAAAATGCCAAGCTAGATGACCCTGGATTCACACCTTAACCCCATCTTCCAACTACATGACCTTAGATGACCCTTCATCCTGTCTAACAGTTCTGGCTGTGAGAGAATGAAATGGCCTAATACAAGCAACTGCTTACCTCATACCAAGTACTTAATCAATGTGAGGTGAATGTCAGTGGGAACCTAGTAGCAGTGATGTGGTAGCGGTGGTGGGACTGCAGATTGAACCCAACACCTGGACTCTGAGCAAAAAAAGAAAAAATTACAGATGCCAGTTTGGCCTTCTGCACAATTTTAATTGGGAGATGTAAAAGGCTGATTGGTGGCGTAATTGTACTGCTGGTATCTGATGGTCTGTTGAAGGGAACAGTTAATGATAAAAAGTTGGGTTTTTTTATATTTTTACCAATTTTGCATGTTTGTATCTGGTAATCTGAGCAACTTATGTGATGACAACAATTTGCAGTATAATTCACCACTGGTGAATTCCTACAATCCTGTCTAGTGAAACTATGTATTGTCTATAATGTTCTTATAAATTATTATTTTCTTATTCCCTTTAATGATTTGATCAATCTTCTATTCTTGCATCTGGTTATCTGAGCAACTTCGCTGAAGATAACAATATGTAATATAACAACCATTGTTAATCCCTATCATTTGATTTGAAACCCCGTATTATTTTTAATGTTCTTGGGTTGTTTTGTTTGTATTTTGCTACTGTTCTTTTTTGTACTATTTTCTTTAAAGCAAAAAAAAAATTTTTTTTTAAAAAAAGGCCTGGGGACTTAGCTGAGTGGCAGAGCACTTGCCTAGCATGCCCAAGGTCCTAGGTTCAATCCTTAGTACTACCAAAAAAAGTGCAAACAAACATGTCATCTGTAAATACAACACACCAATTACACATCATAAAAAAATCCCTTAAACTCACAAATAACTTGTGAATTGTTTTCAGAACAACATCTCTTAATTCTTCCACTCTTTACCATGAAAAGAAACTCATCATCCTGTTTACATATTGCTAATACTTTAGTGTCTATGTCTTCCTCTTTCTCTCTCTCTCTCTCAATGCTGGTAGACTTTAGTTTAAACCCATAGTTTTCTCCCCAGTATCTTTCAAATTGTGTATGTGTGTGTGCATACAAGATGTGTGTACGTGTAAGATATGACTTCATATTTAAAAGATCCCTAAGAAATCTATAAACTCGTCCAGGCACTTCAAGTCCGCGGCCAAACTTGTCTGGGAGGAGGTGCTGATAAAATCAGCTTAGTTCCTGTAAACTGCTGGAGTCTGCAAACTAAAGAGAGAATGGGAACAGTAATCCTATTGCGGGAAGCATTAGGGTGTTAGTGCAGCCTCCGTGGCAGCTACAGGCTGAGAACTCTGGGCTGGCTCTCAGACCTGTTGAAAAGTCGCCTGCAGTTGCTCAGGCACCGCGCCGGGTCTGGCATCGAATCCTTAAACCTCACCCTGTCTCAAGATGCTCTTAGGATCAGCAGGCTTTGCGCTCCCAACTTGCCTGTTTTGATGCAAACATCCTTTCTTAGAAGCCCACAGCAGGCATCCCCCAAACCATCCCACGCATCAGAGAATGCGTCCAGTGTACGAAGCAGGAAAAGGACGAAGTTCCCGAAGTTTCCCACATCGGCGCGTTTCTTACCTGACGCCGAGTGGAATGGACTCTGCCTCGCTTTCCTGCCGACCCTGTCCACAGACTCCCACGGAAACGCTGCCTGGGGCCGTGCGGACCAGTGTGCAGCCCGGTACAGAAAAAAGCTCCCCTCACCCTCCCACCCCGTCGCCTCTCCCGCTGGAAGCCGCCCCGCGCCGCAGAACAGGCGCGAGTCCCCACGCGCCGCCGGTGCCGCGGTCACCTGCAAAGACCGGCAGGGGAGACCAGGCAAGTACCGTCAATCACACAAAGGAAGCAACGCAGGACGCGGGGACGGGTGCAGCACCAAGCGCACCGCTGCGAAAGGGACACCTCCCGCCACCTAACCCCTAGCTATCTTCGCCCAGTTGTCTTGGCGACCAGCCGCCGGAGCCACTGCGCAAGGCAGACGTGGCGCCGCGGGGTCTACTGGGATTTGTAGTCCAGCGCCGCTGAAGAAACTGCGCCGCGGGGCCGCCTGGGAGTTGCAGTCCAGCGTGGCTGAGGCACGGAAAGCCGAGATTTTGAGTGGGCCGCCGCTGGAATCCAGTTGCTGCTGGGCCGAAGGTTGTTACAACAGCTGCCTACTCGACTTCAGCAAAAACAAGTAAGCAGTACACTTTGTTTCCCATTCCTAGCAGCACTTCTTGAGACACTGCATCAGCAGAAGGATCGCCTGCTTCCCGGCTCCACCCACTGACCACACCCTCCAGTCCTGCTCTGCACCGGCAGGGAGAGGGGACGGGCTGGGGCGGGGGGCGTTCACCTGAGGTCAGAGGTCCTCAGGTGGCAGAACTATGAGATCAGGTCTATATTCCTTTGTAGCTTGTGAAGCACTATTGTGTGACTCCTGACGCACGTTTGTATTCTTTCTACAGTATTTAGTATATTCAGTTTCTTTTGTTAATTTCAGGATTTCCTGTGTATAGGGTGTGCAGATAGTTAGCTTTACCAAATAATCCCATTTTTTTTCTTTCAAATTCAGGGCAAGCATAACATGTCCCCAGTATTGAAATGGTACCTGTTTGCTTCTTCGTCAGTGGATCCCAGTTTAGGCTTTAATTTTACTGCTTTCCACCACTAGTTCACATTGCCAGGAGAAAATATAATTCTAAAAGTTTCTCCATTTTTTTGTTTTTTGCAATAAGGACCCAGGCCTCACACAAGTTAGGCAAGCGTTCCACCACTGGGCAATACCCACACCCTTTATCACTGTTTTTTTTTTTTTTAAATAAAAGAATTTCATGATCATTCTTTTTTTTAACTACTTCAATATTGAACCACACAACTTTTGTTATAATGAAAAAAATTACTTCAATAGCCAACAATAAGAACTTCAGTAAATTATGATAGGACACTATTTTATCACAGAATTCAAGTTATAGGAACATTTTTAGTTAAAATGTTGGAGTTAGGGATGTTCCTCAGTCAGAGACCACTTGCCTAGAATATAGAGGACTTGAGTTTGATCCCCAACACTGCAAAAACAAGACAAATAACAAAAAAAAGTTCATAATACAAAGAGTGATCAAAATGCAGTGAATGTTTAAATTACAAATGTATTACACTGGAAGGTACATTGCCATTAATCCCCCTCAAAATATTGCTTCTCATTTGGAACACTCTTATCTGTCATTCTTGCCACTTTCTGAAGCAGTTCTGGAAATCCTCTCATGAATGTCCTCACAAGGGTTATAAAAATGACACGGAATGCTGCTGCCGAGTGCCATTCAACTGAAAAGCAGGCTTGCAAAAACATGAATTAGGACTGTAGAATACTGATGCAATTACTACTTGTAGATACTGATGGTAGAATTGGACATAGTGAACATGAGGTGTTTGTGATATTCAGGTGGACACTCAAGATGTATTAGGAAATGGGTTCTCTTCCTTGGGAAAGAGTTCATGGCTAGAGTTTTGACCTGGGGTATTCTCATAGATGGTAGATGAGCTGTCTAGGAGGACAAGATCAGAGTATACAGGCTAAAAGGAGTGAGATGTGAAATTCTGAACACTGAGAATATTAACTAGAACTGGAAGAAAGTAGGGGGAATCTAAGCAAGCAGTCTGAAAAGGCCATGTGGTATGAGACAAGGATGCAATCATATTTTGTGACATAAGATATGAGTGGAAAGTCAGGGAGCTGATACAATGAGAAAAACGAACTCTTTCCAGGAGTAGCACTATAGTAAAGGTGCAAGTGTTAAAAGAGGATATCAGAAAACTGGTTGAGGAAATGTCTGTCTTAGTCCAATTGGACTTCAATAACATGTTTTAGAGTAAGTAATTTGTAAACTGCAGAACTGTGTTGCTTTCAGTTCTGGAGGCCGGGAAGTCCATGATCAGTATATACTGTGGCCCTTTCCTCACAGACAGAGCCTTCTGCCCCATATGGCCTCACAGGATGGGGAAGAAGACAAGCTCCCTCAGGCTTCTTCTGTAAGGGCCCAGTCCCATTTCTGAGAGCAGATCTCTAGGACCTGATCATCTACCAAAGGCCAGCATTAATTTTGAACACTTAAATTCTGGGGAAGGGCACATACATTGAGAGAAAGGAGGGAAATATGTGTGATATATGTGCATAATAAGATTCTGATTGATTTGCTAAGCATCTCTTCCACTTTTATCTGGTACCCTTTTGAGAGTTAGAGGCTGGAAAATGAAAAACTACATTAAAAGTGAGCGCTTGCATTACTGTGACAGCACTGTGACTAGAGATCTGTTCACATGCATTCATGCCACATTTCAGTTGGAAACCCACTTGAATTAGGAAAATATATTGATTCATCCAGGTGTGTCAGAATAAATCTGAGGCCAATCTATCAGCTTTCTAACACCCAGATTGCAGCCTAGGAGGGATATTCCTGCAGCACATGACAAAGACATCATTTCCTTATTCCACAGCTTTCTAATTGTCATCATGAGTAGCTGCAGGAGACAGTCCTTTGAGATGGACCCAGGTTTCAATCCCACTGGGGCCAAGAAAAGTATCTCCCAGAGTGGTTTTGGGATATGAGGACATCTATAACTGTCATAGTGACAGTTCAGCCCAACTTTGGAGAAGCAGCTGCTTCCTGGGCAGCCCCCGGCTTTCTGAGAATGTACAGGGGCTGTAATGGCAACTGCTCCTGCTGTCCCAGAGATTGATGGGGTGAAACAGACAATCATGCCCTATTGTGGTTTGGGGATTTAGGTATATCACCAATGTACTCCAGTCCATGCTCAATATTTGCTGTTGAGGACAGAGATTGTGCTACTCCCTAGAAAGAAGCAACAGTCCACAAGGCTGCTACAGGGGAAGGAAATAGTAGCTGTCAGGGTTGATGCGGCCAGCCTATTCAGATGGCTGCAGAAGCAGCCAGAAAATACTGGGACTAGTTGCCCAAGAGCACACCCATGGCTTCAAAGAAAGGGAGTAATAGCTATCAGTGACACCAAGACCCTTCAGGCTGCCACAGGAAAACACCTTAAGGCTCAGGCCTCATGTTTATCACTTATGCCTTGTTACCCCTATCAATAGTACCATTTTAAGTATTTTTCAACAGAATACACAGTTGCTAAATGATAGGAAGAGATTTAATTCCACAGGTTTATGGTATTTAAGCCTAACCTTTTGTTTTTCTAGCTTTCAAATATTCTTCATGCATATCCCTAATCAAAGACACATTGTATCTGCTGAAATTTAAGTATAGAGTGTGATGATTATATTATTCCATTCCTTTCTGGGATGTATTATTTCAGTGTACTAAAATGGAAGGAATTATCTTATTAAAGTTAATGCATCAACCTAGAATAGCAAAGGCAATTCTGGGCAACAAAGGAAAGGCAGGAGGGATCGCAATACCTGACTTGAAATTATACTGCAAAGGTGCTATGATAAAGTGAGCTGGCACTGGCAAAAAAACAGACCTGAAGATCAGTGGAACAGATTAAAAGATGCAGACACAGCTTAAAAAAACACTCAGTCACCTTATCTTCGACAAAGGGGCCAAACATGTTCACTGGAAGAAAGATAGCCTCTTTAATAAATGGTGCTGGAAAAACTGGCTTTCCACAGGCCAAAGACTAAAACTAGACCCATCTCTTTCACCATGCACTAAACTAAGGTCCAAATGGATCAAAGATCTAAATATTAAAACAGAAACACTAAATCTATTGGAAGAGAAAGTAGGTAGAAATCTTGAAGACATGGGGTAGGAAGAGAGTTCATGAACAAAAACCAACCTGCATGGGAAATACTTCAAAGAATCAACAACTGGAACCTCATCTTATTG